CCATTGCACTCCAGTCAGCATGAAAGAATGAGGCCATGTCTCTCTCTCTCTCTTTTTTTTTTTTCCGAGGTGGAGTCTCACTCTGTCGCCCAGACTGGAGTGCAGTGGCCGCTCCCGGCCACCGCAACCTCGACCTGCTGGGCTCCGGCCATCCTTCCGCCTCAGCCTTCCAAGTAGCTGGAACTACAGGCATGCGCTACCACGCCTGGCTAATTTTTTATTTATTGTAGAGATGAGGTCTCCCAAGTTGCCCAGGCAGGTCTCGAACCCGTGGGCTCAGGCAATCCACTCATCTCAGCCTCCCCAAGCGAGGGATTACAGGCTGAGCCACTAAGCCCGGCTTTCTTTCTTTTTTTTTTTTATTTTGAGTTGGAGTCTCACTCTTGTCACCCAGATTGGAGTGCAGTATCACACTCACAACCACCACAGCCTCGACCTTCTGGACTTAAGTTATCCTTCCACCTCAGCCTTACAAGTAGATGGAACTACAGACACGCCACCATGCCCAGCTAGTTTTTGTGATTTATTGTAGAGACGGTCTGCCCAAGTTACCCAGGCTGGTCTCAAACCCCCAGACTCAGGCAGTCCTCTCACCTCGGCCTCCCAAAGTGCTGGGATTACAGGCTGAGCCACTGTGCCTGGCATCATTAAAGACATGAAGGCCAGGCCAAGGGTTCAAGACCAGCCTAGGAAACATGTATCTACAATAAGTCAAAAAAATTAGCCAGACCTGGTGATGCGTGCCTGTGGTTCCAGCTACTTGGAAGGCTGAGAAGGAAGGATCACCTGAGCCCAGCAGGTCCAGCCTGCAGTGGCTGTGAGTGTGCCACTGCACTGTAGCCTGGGTGACAGAATGAGACTCCGACTCAGGAAAAAAAAAAATTAGAAGAAAACTGTCTTTCTTGTTCTCCAGTCCTTTCAATACTCTTTTCCCCAGTGGCATTGAGATGTCCATGGAGCTGGCGGAATCTGGGTGTTCTTTTTGTACTTGGCGTCACACACAGGTTGTGCCGATTAAAGACTTCTTGCCGACGTGTTCACTGATTTGCCCTTCCTGACTGATTTCTCCCCTGCTGCCCAGGTGCCTTGAAGAGGAGTCTCACGGCCGAGCAGGTTCGAGCAGATTTCATCACTCTGGGTAGGTCATTGCCCAAGGTTGCTCAGGGTGACCTGCCTCTGGGCTTTTCATTATGTAAATGTCTCCTTTTGCTCTATTGTAGGTCTTAGTGAGGAGAAAGCCACCTACTTTGCTGAAAAGGTATAATTCTTCTTCATCAAGGTTAATTAAGATCCTTTGCTTTTATTCGTGACGAGAAAAAATTAGGACTTGCCAACTAAGGCAAAACCACGCGTCACCAGTTGCCGTTTCCCAGCTGAAGGCTTTTGCTCGGCCTTGCGTGTATAGCATGTGTGCAGCAGTTCACTGTGCTGTTAGTGCATCTGGGGGTTTTTCCTCTGGTTTGAATGAGTATGAATGTTACGCGGCTGGCACCGTAGCTCATACCTATAATCCCAGCACTTTGGGAGGCAGAGGTGAGAGGATTGCCTGGGTTCTGGGGTTCAAAGACCAGCCTGGGTAACTTGGTGAGGCTCCCGCCCCCCTCCCATCTCTACAATAAATAAAAAAATTAGCCAGGCATGGTGGCATGCACCTGTAGTGAGGTCAAGGATCACCAGAACCCAGCAGGTCGGGGCTGCAGTGGCCATGAGCCTGGGCAACAGAGTGAAACTCCAACTCAAAAAAAAAAAAAGTCATGCGGTTTTTGTTTCAACATAGATTAAATCTTGGAATGAAAGAAAACATTGCTATCATTGTCTGCAACTCTCCCTATCCCTAGATATGTGCACAGGCCAAGCCCTGGGTTCTGCATCCCTCCGGCTGTCTGTGCAAACACTAAACATGGCTGTGTCAGGGCAGGATGGGGAGCAGGAGTTTTGCCTGTCGTTATGACTGCCTTTTTGCTTTTGTTGCAGTGGAAGCAGAATGCCCCCTCCCTGGCTCGGTGGGCCATCGGTCAGACTCTGATGATTAACCAGCTCATAGACATGGAATGGACATTTGGAGGTAACGAGAGCTAGTGCTGGACATGTGGGTGACACAGGTTGAGTTGCAGAAGCACGTAGAGTGCCGGGGTGGGAAACTGCATGCTCAGGCCCCACGTTCTGCCGCAGCTGCAGTCTGTATCCCCTCCACACTCTGTGGTCGTCTCCATCGGTGACTTTCCAGAGGTTGACTGTGGAGGCCTCTTGGTGCTCTCACTCTCACCCCCACATGACTGCCATGGGACCACTTGCAGCACTGGGGTCTTCAGGACAAGTCCTCAATCTGCCACTTGTTATTTACTTATTTATTTTTTGCCACAGTGACATCTGGGAGCAGTGAATTAGAAAAAGTGGGAAGTATATTCTTACAAGTAAGTCTTCTCCTGATCCTTGAAAATGGGTAGGTTTTTGACTTGATTAAAAATTCTTACCACCCTGAGCGCGCCCGATCTCCTCTGGTCTGGGAAGCTAAGCAGGGTCGGGCCTGGTTAGTACTTGGATGGGAGACTGCCTGGGAATACCGGGTGCCGTAGGAAAACCGGGCTTGGTGGCTCAGCCTGTAATCCCCGCGCTTTGGGAGGCTGAGATGAGTGGATTACCTGACTTCGAGACCAGTTTGGGCAACTTGGTAAGACCTCCTCTCTATAATAAATTGAAAAACTAGCCAGGCGTGGTAACACATGCCTGTAGTCCTAGCTACCTGGAAGGCTGAGATGGAAGGATCACCTGAGCCCAACAGGTGGAGGCTGCAGTGGCCATGAGTGTGCCATTGTACTCCAGACCTCCCCCTCCCAAAATTTTTTAATCTAGCTAGGTGTGGTGGCTCACGCCTGTAATCCTAGCACTTTGGGAGGCAGAAGCGAGAGGAATGCCTGAGCTCAGAGGTTTGAGACCAGTCTGGGCAACATAGTGAGACTTCATCTCTACAGTAAATCAAAAAGTTAGCTGGGCATGGTAGCGCATGCCTATAGTTTCAGCTACCTGGAAGGCCAAGGCAGAAGAATCACCTGAGACCAGAAGGTCTTGGCTGCATGGACTTCTTGATTACAGGTGTGAGCCACCACGCCTGGCCAGAAATTTTTTTTTTAA